TCGGTGAGGTCACGAGCTGTCGGTTGGCAGGCGCGTCAGTGGCTGAGACGCCACGAGCCTGTAAACTCCAATCAAAGGGTGATGTCATTGGCGTCGTCACGACAGCAGTTAATTATTATTACGGTGAGGTCATAAGGGTCGATGATCGATAAGCAAATGATGCTTCGCTCCATCTTCCCTCTCTCTCTCTCTCTCCTCTCTCTCTCTCTCTCTCTCTCTCGCTCTCTCTTCTCTCTCTCTCTCTCTCTCTCTCTCTCTCCTATCTCTCTCTCTCTATCTCTCTCTCTCTTCTATCTCTCTCCCTCTCTCTCTCTCTCTCTTTCTATCTCTCTCTCTCTTCTTCTCTCTCTCTCTCTCTCTCTCTCTCTCTCTCTCTCTCTCTCTCTTTCTCCTCTTCCTCTTTCTCCGGCTAGTAGAAGGCTAGCACTTGGACGCCCGACAGTCCCAAGATTCGTATGTCTCCCCACATCACGATGACTATTTATCTGGTGCACGATCGCCTTCATTGTATTCATGTCACAGCGACCCGTGCTTGGCGACGGCCATGGCTTTTGCGACACGTATTAATGACTCATCGTCCATACTTTCTGCTTTCATATGCCCACCTGCTCAGGGCATCAGGGTTTTGCTGCGTGGTTCTGCATGCATCGCAGCTTTCATCGCACCAAGCAACGATTTCGACTAGTTAGCTCTGCAGTGCTGTGAAACATCTGCGTACACATATCCTGACGCCATGAGAAGCCTGTGGGGAGTGCTTTGCTCCATCAGATAGCCACCGGTCGTATCACTGACTGGGTCAGGGCGGGTCGGCGGCATGGCCTCCTAAATGTCCCTCTGATGGCTCCAATTAGACTCGGGGAGAGGAGGCGGCACGGACCACCCAGCGGACAGGGCGGCCGGCACCGTGCCATTACACCGCCTCCGTACGACTGATGGCCGGTAGAGAGGAGTGAGCGCGAGGGAGGGAGGAAAGGAGGGTTAGAAGAGCGAGATGAAGGGAGTGGATGGAAGGAAGGAGAAGGAGAAAGGGACATGTAAATCGAGATGAATGGGCTTCAGAAGAAGAGTGAGATAGATAGAGAGAAGGATGGTGTGTGAGGGAGGAAGAAGATAGAAAAAGAAGAGAGAAAGAAAGAGAGAGGGAAAGGAAGAAAGAGCTGGGAGAGAAAAAGTATGGTAAAAGAGAAGGGAGAGAGGGAGCAAGGTGCAGCCATAGCCCATATCAGTCATACACCTAAAGAAGATAAACGGACTCGCCTTCCAAGGAAAAGACAGACCAGTGGGGAGTGCTGTGTCTAAATCTCAGGCGGAGACGGACCGGCCAACGGACCGAGCAGAATTAAATGGCCACTGTGAGCCGGTCCCCGTGCTGAGGCCGCCATTTGGTGCGGGCGGTGCCGGACCGAGAGCAGGGCGCGGTCGAACAGTGAATTACACCGTGTAGCGAGAGAGGTGTCGTTAGCAGAGAACGGCATGCCAACGCCTTTACATCTGCCGCTGAGGTGATGTTTTTGATCAGCATGCTACAGATGCTTGTTTGGAAGTGAATCGACCTGGAAACCTGTTTATAGGTACATCGCTGCTTGTGACATCGATGTAGTCGGTCTATGAGGTGCAATGGCACATATCAGCCGGACGGCACATCGCTGACTTGTTGAAATCCTTGTGAGACGAACAGCTTACATCAGTAGGGGAGAGTGGGGTAATTTGGCCGCTTTTTTTTAGAAAACGATGTCACTAAAAATCGACCACACATTTCTGCATTTTCTCAACGCTGACAGGTGTGGCATACAATTTACATTCCTGGACAGTAAACTTGAAATGATTGGGTAACTACTTATATTGAAATTGTGACGTATTACAAAGGTCTGCAAAGCGGCCAAATTGCCCCACTAGCAGGGTTATTTGGCCGGGGGTGTGGGGCAATTTGGCCGGTGTTAGTTTGAGGCCATGATTTTTGTTATCGGCGAGTCAGCTTCACATTCAGCAATGACGCGTGTCCTACGACGCATTTGAAGCATTTTGGAGGTTGACTCAGCCGTCACAGGGGTCGAAAATAGTCAAAATAGCGGCTCTAGATGCGATGACAGTTTTTTTTATGAATAGCTTTTGAAGTAATAAGGCTAGGCCAAAACTAAAAGTACCATCGTAATTCTCTCGTCATTCCGCATCGAAACATGTATGTGTTGACATCGAGAGGTCAAGGTCAAAGATTGGCTTCAGGTCACGTTACCTCAGGTCGCTTGACCTCAAGGTTACGTGAGTTCAAGTTCATCATGTATACCATTCGATGCGCCTTGACGAGCTGAACGCAATGAGACCATTTGCGCGGCTGTATCTTTTTCTGTAAGTATTTATTAGCAAAAAAACGTTAGGTAACCGTTGATGACGTCACATGCCCTTACAGCTGTGCAATAGGAAATATGGCATCAAGGTAGTCAAAGTTGGTCATGAATTATGTCCTTTATGGTATAATTGACCGTGACAACTCGACCGTCCCAGCTTAGTGTCTCTGAGCCTACCGGCCAAGTTGCCCCGCTAGTCCCGGCCAAATAACCCCACATTGCCATTCTGAAAATTTTTGTCTATAAAGTCGTCATGGCTGTACAGAACTAGGTGAAATTGCTCTTGGAACCATTGAACACCCTCAAGAATGGCGCTATAATGTTGGAATTCGTTTACAGCCCAAATACTACATGTTATACAAATTTTTAAACGGAAGTAAAAGTTACCATTTTCTAACGAAATTCACGTTTTATTAATTTGGAATAAAACTAAGAGGGGGAAAATTTTGACATTTGTTCTCGAGTTAGTTCTGCCAATGACAAATGAATAGAGACTTAAGTTATTTAATTCACTTTTATCAGCTTTCGTACAGGTAAGGGCGGCCAATTTACACCACCGGCCAAATTACCCCACTCTCCCCTAGTCATATACTATCTCTCGCTGTACTGACAGAGTTTGTGTGAGAGTGCGGGCAGTCCACTCCCAGCTGTGGCAGGCGTGCACCGGGCTGCCTTCCCAGGACTGTATCTGCTGTCCAGCCGCTATCGATGCGTGGGATTATGGTGACGGTCGAGTGGGATGTGGGAGCGTGACCGATCCCGCGCACACAGGGGTAGGTGTCTGCAACGTGATACCGTGGCGTGGGTGTGTCACCTCAGTCCGTGAGGTCACTCTCAGGACTGCGCTCGCCCACGCCCTCTCTCTCACAGTCACGCCTGGGTCGTGGGGCGCCACGATATCGTCACGTATTAGTCACAAATGATGATCATCACCTTTATAGCGCTGCATCAGCATGCAGCAAATGACCAAAGCAACATAGTTGTGTGTTTGGTTATTGAGGGAATAGGTATATCATCCATTTATACATTCAATTGACACCATCCTCACTTGTCACTTGGCAAGACTACTTAGGTACGATGGAAAGTTCCTTTGTCAAACCTGTATCCCAGCCAGCGTAGCCGGACATGCTTGCCAACGCCGAGAGCACAGGGTGACATTTCTTACCTGGTCGACAGGCGTCGCAGTTCTCGATCGCCTGCCGGATGCGCACCGTCTCTGCGCGCTGCGCGCTCATCTCTGTTCGCAGCTCCTTGATCGACTCGATCAGGGCACCCAGAGTTTTGATGAGCTGCGCGTCGCGGTCGCTGTAGTCGTTCAGCGGCTGGTCACCTGTCGGGTCAGGGCGGAAGTCACGGGAGGTCACCGGATGGTGCAGAGGTCACCTGGGATCACAGAGACTGCCAGAGGTTACCCGGAGACAAGCTTATCAGTTATCAGAAGCGGTGACGCTAGTGGCGCCGACAGACAGGATCACTGGTGACTCCGAGTCAGGGAGGAATGAATAATGGAACCCGAACTAATTGCCGCACGTTTGTCAGCGAGCGATAAAGCCAAGACCCGAGCGACAGAGATGGAAGAACCAAACGACATGACATTCACCGTACAACGATTGTTGTAGATGTTAAGGAGACAGGAAGCGGAGCTGGCACACACACTTTATGTAAAGGACAGGCGGCTAAAAATGGCGAAGCGGTGGGCTCTGTCTCGAGTCAGATCAGAAGCAAAGTCAAGGATTTTCCTGTTTCCGACGGTCCCATTGCACTGGCATGGCTAATAACAACGCTCATTTGTAGCTCTTTTTGTTGTCTGCTAACGTCGTTTCTCAGTCGTTACCGGAGTGATATGGCGGGTGGTGCCTTGCTCTCGTCCAAGTTGGCCTCATTGTAAGTACCTTACCGTCTAAGTCGATGGATTCGTCAGGACAGATGTCAGAACCGTAAGAATGTCGAATTTCGGCGGAAACTTTTGTGATGATCGAAGAGAAGAGATTGGTGGATTTTATAAGTGGCAGAAGGTCATCATAGTGTATCTTCAAAGGCAACGTTAGCTATTCCCAGTGATGCCCTGAATTGACACATTTTTATGTTCATGGTTAGATGTTTCGATGGTTATCTCTTTATTGAGCATTGAAGGCATGCTAACTACTGTGAAAGTTGTGAACCTATCGTCAGATAACAGTTTTGCCCAACTGATCTCAATTAGTTGTATTTTTGCACAGGTTACATCCATGCTTTTTAAATGTTTATGAAAATTAAAGCATACTGAAAGGCGTGCTCCGTTCATTCTGTTTTATACCTTTTATGTTATGTTTAGGACATGCGGATCAAAGTTGATGCTTGATTATGCAGCTCATTTCAGGTGAACTCCATTTTATTTTATTACTCGGGGCGCAGAGGACCCGCTGATACGTTGGCGGTGCCTGTGCACCCGATAGTCGTGGCACACTCCAGCCCGGCGGCCCCGTTCGTCCCTGGTTAGCGGCGTTAGATGCGCGGTAACCTGCCGGCGCGCCCTGGCGACTCACCTCTGTCCACCAGGTTCAGGGGCTGGGAGAATTGGGGGCACATGTAGCCGGACGGGGCGCAGTAGGGCACCGAGCGGCGCCGCGGGCGCACCCTGTCGCCGCCGGCGGCGCCCGAGTCGTCACCTGACCGCAGCACGGGCGGCGCGTCAGCGCGCGGCGCCCCCGGCGACGGGAGCCGGCGCCCCAGGCCGGGTGGCAGGAACGGGAGCCGGCGCCCCCGGCCGGGGCGGGGCGGAGAGGACGGGAGCCGCCGCCCCCGCCGGGGTGGCAGGACATGGCAAGAATACGGTTCCTCTTTTTGGATACCCTTGCTGCTCCGGTAGGACGCTATGGTAAAAGAGGCTGAAAGAGGGTTCTGAAGAGGAGAGGTCCCTGGGATAGATGCAGCAGAAGTTGGGTCACTGCCTCACGCACCACGCTCCAGTCAAGCCGCAGATCGAGTTGCGATGCACCAAACCGCAATGCATTCATGGCCAAAGACATTCACCAGCCTCCTTGATTCTATGTATGCGAACCCAGCGTAAACACACGAGCAAAAACAACATTGCAATGCCATAGTCAGTCGCAAACCCCAAAGCAGCGTATAATGTCAGCAGAAAGTTGCGCAAGAGTTCCGCGACCCATCAATTTGAATTACGAGTCGAAGTTACTCCTATGAAAAATTGATGCTTATAAACAGAGCTGAGGCCATTTTTACCAACAGAAAAATAGCCGCCCGCCAGAATTTTTTGCCTGAAGACCGCATCACATACGGAGCGTAAGCGCGATGGGCACGTAAGCCGATAGGGCTTTACCGTTTACGCTCCGTATGTGATGCGGTCTTTAGGCAAAAAATTCCGGCGGGCGGCTATTTTTCTGTTGGTAAAACTGGCCTCTCTTCTTACTTCCTTTTTTTGCTACGAAGCGACGAAGGACGGAGCGAAAGTGCTTTCAACTGCCTTCATATATGCGTTCTATACCTACGCTAAGTGCTAGTAAAGGGGAAAGCTTTGGCAAACACTACTTGGAATGAAATATTATCTTGACTTGACTGCGAATAAATTATTAGTTTCTTAGCGTGTCATAGCCATCTTTATTTGGATTTTTGGTAAGATACGCATCACTACAAGGCAATGTAAAAACGTAATCATTATACGGTGGAAATTAATTTTTGAATAATCATTTACACTGCCATTGTTGCTTTACGACAACGATAATACCGGCACTTTATCATACTGGACAGCCCTGGTGAATATTATCCCACAACTCATTAGAAAGTGATCCAGGAAATTATACATTCATGAAAGTGGCTAATTGCCGTGGCGGGGCTGATCTGCCGGCCGCACCCATCTGTCTGTATGTACAGTATGCTGCAGCCCAGTGGGTACTGACTACTGGGTAGGTATGTGTCTGCACGGTGTGCAGTGGTCACACCCTAGCCAGCCGCCCCGACACCTGTGCTGCTCAGAACCCGGCGCATAGCCGCGGCTTTCCGAGGGCACAGGAGTGCACAGCTCCGCCGGCAAAGCACGGGTACGGTTTTCACACAGGTGACCGGTCGGCCGCCGCTGGAGCTTCTGACAGTCCCGCCACACCCCCGGACAAACAGATACCAGTGAACACTGCACATGCAGACAGAGCCCCGAAGGCGGTGACGTCACTGATGTGCGATGACGTCACTGGGTGATTGAACTCACCGCGGACGGAGGGGTCTCGTAGCCGCTGGGCGGCCGCCGGTCTGGCCTGCGTCGACTGCAGCACGTAGCCGGCACAGCCGTGCTTGTGCAGGATACTGCTGATGGAGGTGCCGGCCAGCACTTTGGCACCCATCCGCCGCTCGCGCATCTGCCCGCAGAGGGGCACGGTGGTCACACGATGCACATTCAGTGCTGGATATATTTGGAGCTGACTTCACACGATGCACAATGCACCTTTTCCGGGGGCTTAGATATTTCACGAAACATCTTCAAATATATCTTTTAGGTTTCTGGGCCCTCAAGTTTTTTTGTGAACGATTCTTTGATTGAAACGCTTAGTGGGAGAGCAAAACCATAAGTTGTGGGTTAATCTTGCCTAAAATGGAAGAATACATTTGTGTTTTATCTTGTCCAGGAAAATGCGAACCATTTTATTGCTCTTATGTGTTTTAAAAAATTCAAGCTTGCCTAAAGACAACTATAAAATAATGACAACTATGTATGATTGGCACCATAAAATGATGTTCGAATAATTTGGTTTTATGCATCCGGAAACGTTTTCGGGACGGATTATGCCACCTAACTAGATGAATCAGAAACAAATATCGTAAGCATTAATCGCTATCACGTCTCACTTACCAATAGAAGGGATACCAATGTTTTGTGCTCCTTTATGACGGATATTGGTTAGGTACCTATAGATTGCATACGATTTGGGCGACTGGCGAGGCCAATTCACAATCATTACATGATTATTCCAAATGCAGTTTATAAAACCTCATTAAAATTGTACGGAGCTCTACATTTCATTCGCAATGAATCAAAGTACAAGACATATCATTGGTAAATCCTTTCAGGATCCATAACGAGCAGAATCAGCCATTTAGTACGACCGGAAAGTGGTTGCTGGAAAATCTGTCGCGATCTTACCGAATGGCACCCGGAGCATCTGATTAAGCCACCATCATCTGTCTGAAAGTGACAGCATTATTAATTGTTCGTGCCACTAGCGTGCGCTCATTCACTGAGCTGTCAAGTGTCAAACCATGGATGGTCAGCCCTTGACGCTCTCAACATAGCAGAAGTATTTTTGCTTTGCTTTGTCACGCATGCATCCGAGTTGTTAATCGGCTCAGGCTGTCACCAGCTGAAGAACGATCGAATTCGATGATGATAATTGCGATAATAGTGCTGTCATTAATCAAAAGTCGCACATAGCAGGGATACGCTCAACTCGAGAAAGGATTATACCTCTGACTAGCAGTGGCGGCGGAACACCTTCAATTAAGGAGGGGTGGGGGGCACTGCCGACTTTTGGTCCCATTCTTTCCATGCAACGCCAACGCCCATAGGTCTAATGTTAAAATGCCAAAATCAAAGGGGGGCAGGGCGCCCCGGTGCCCCCCCGTTCCGCCGCCTATATGCTGACTAAAAGCTGCATGTGCATTGAGTAACTTATGAATACATTTCCAGCATACGATTATTTAGCTACAGGTGCTCTTTTTAGTAAGAAAAAAAAAGATATGAAAACAGAGATAAATGGCTTAGCCTGGGATTTTTGTTAAGGTATTTGCATAGCTTGTTGTATGGCTTTCCAGTATTAGCTGTCATTGAAAGTCGTATCTTCATTTGATTGTAATATTTATTTATAAACTCTTGTGCCACCATGGCCTTGCAAGCACCGAGGTCGTAATTGAAAGCTGGATCGGCAGGAATTTCGGCTACGCCCATATTAACTGGATTGCAACTGGGAGGGGAAATCCGTGAAGAGTTGGCTCGTTGTGTATTCTGGTGCGGATTTATCACGGTCCTCGAGTGAGAGGTCACTCGGCGGGCGGCCGAATCTGGTGCTGTTCACCAATGCTAATGTCGCGGTCGGGTCGCTCACCACGGGAGACCTCTGCGGGGTACGCTAACAGGCCCACCCCGGGCGGCCCATCCGCCCACCTCTGTATACCGGACACCTGCCAACAGCAACCGACTGCAACACACACGCTGGTCACTCGGGCACCTCAGCACTCAACGGTGGCCACCATTCATTTGCTAATGCATGGGCGCCCTGGTACGCGGTGAAAGGTGCGTTCAACTGGCAATGTATTCATTGTGCATTGTGCTCCGCAAGTCGTTGAAGGTGCAATTGCATGCTTGATTGCGTCGATACAACGATTTGGAGGGTGGAGTCGTCTTCCGAACCTCTTAACCAACATCATCGGCGTGTGTGGAGCGCGATTGCGGCTACCTTTGGTGGCTATCAGGGCGGCGCGCAGTGCGAACAAATGGCCCATTCAGAGACGGCAGGATGCTCGGGGGTGTCCATATGTGCACCAGTAGCTCGCATCTGCAGGTTTTAGCACATTTATTGTCTTCAGTTGGTATGTTGAATAGAACTTAGAGGAACTTATATAAACGCATGCATGACGATCCGACGCATTATGTCACAACTCCATCACATCTAAGCCAGTGATGAGTAGCCACTCATTCATCCGAAGTATTTAAAAGGAAGCTCTTCTTGCATTCCTCCGCCGCGGACATGCGAATACAAGCGTCTTCCATCGTGACTTCGCCTCGGCAGCAGGGTGCCCACTGCGGACCCGTTTGACTGGTCACGTGTCCGCCTGTGTCAGTGGTCCACAGCGCCGGGGCTGGGTCACGTGACGGGTGGAGCTACCCCTGTGACGGGGGCGCGGTGCCCAGTCCTGGAGATCGCCTGCCCGTCGAGGGCGGCCGCTGCTGGTCCCGCCTCGGTGCCGCCCTGAAGAGCGCCAGACTGACGGTTCTGACACGACGAGCCCGTGCTGATCTCCCCGGGTTAATAATCTTACACCGATTGACACGAATAGGATTTGATGTCGGTGGATGAACTGAGGTCAGCGTAAATTGGCAGAAGATAGCAGTTATACAAAATGTTTTCCACGCATTTGCATTACTGCTATATCATCAATCAGCATTGACAGGAATCTGTCGTAATTCAAAACATATAATTGCCAGTTCCAGCGAGTTCAGGTGCATTAATGGATTAAACTAGGCACACATAATCGTCGCGGCTGTTTTTAACTGTTGGAGCTCTTAAAGATACTGAATACGCTCTAAGCAAACAGTTATAAACAGCGAACACCTTTTTTAGCGGCTCCAGAGTTGTTGATGCCTGTGTAGCGGCATCCTGGCAAGTCTGGTCAGAGCCCAACAAAGCTTGTGGCAATTTTATGAGCTTATGTGCTGAAGCGGTGCTGATCCCATTGTTTTCCTGGAATTTTGAGATATCATTGAAGATCGCCTCAACTCTATTTGCCTTTCGGATTCACGTACATCAGAGGAACTAAAAAGATAGCAAGAAAAATGTAAAACTTAACTTGTTTACAATGCTAGCTGTGCGTTTGTTTTGGGCAGCTTCAATACACTGCAAAGATGATGAAAAACTTTTAATTTGGAGTAGCTCGAACGCTTTAGCTGATATGTATAGTTAATGTACACCAATGTGCGCGGTTCAGAACCTGGCTCGCATTCAATGTTCAGGATAGTTGCCAAGTCTGCCAGCACGAAGTAGCACATTCCCACCGAGGCTATTCAAACCGAGTACCGACTGGGCTAGAATAAAACGAGCCTGTCTTGATCTAATATCCTTCAGAAGGTCAGCAATAACTTCGTTTCATTCGAGCCCACAGCTCTCGATCCGTCTGGCGGCCGCCGGGACCCGCGGTATGCACGGAGGAGCGATCACGAACGGACCGTGACCGGGGTGCCGATCCCTGCCTCCCGGCCGGCCGGGTCACGCCGGAAGCGGGCCTCCCGGGCTGATGGCGCCGCGTCGGCTCAGTCCGTGACGACGTTAGGCACGGCCGTCACCGCCAGCCGGTCCCGTGCCGCGGCACGTGGCGAGGCACGTGGCTCGCATGTGCGCCGTGCGAGCGTGCGGAATAATTCGACTGTGATTGGGTAGATTCATTATCGGCAAGTGGGTAATGGGGATGTTTTGTTGTCGCAAAAGGTCATATGTTCTTATATTGAGTTGTTAATATGCTGCTGTGTGCTAGGTCAGTTATGCTTCTTTCTTTTTTGGTACGTGGAACATGTCTAATGAAACATGTGATTGCTCGGAGAGAATACTGAGCTTTGCGTCAGTGCGCATAAGTTGTCGAGAAGTCGACGTTTTAGATGCACAAATGAGGAGTTTGCATGTAAGTACACAGACGAACTTAATACTGACTGCACAGTGCACATTGGATCGTTGCTAACCCGAATTGGTGCAAGTTGCAGCCATTCAATCAGTATATTCACCTCCCTGCCCTACAATTAGTAATACTTTGTTTTGATACGATTTTTCATAAAAAGTAAGGTTCAGATTACTTTCGGGAAAGGAACGAGAATGCAACTCATGCTCGGAATACTCAAAACATGAAAACTCGAGCATTGCTTTGGCTTGGTTTTGCAATTTTTTGCTCGACGATTCATGCTGGGTTCTAGAACTGCTGTTTTATCAGCATAGTTGAAATTTCCATATCTTCGAAATTCCATTGTCCTCGGTTTGCCGTATTAAATTGTATGCATCCATGAGACTCACGTGCAACTGCCAGGCAACTGTTGAACTGGCTGCTGGCTACTGTGCAAGGCCGTATAACTACTGTGTATGAACACATTACATGCCGCTTGAAAAGAATGCTGCATCACGAAAGGAATGAAGTCAACAGGAGCTATCCGTCTTTTGCGACAGTACGAAAAACCGGCTGTCGTAGGTGTCAACTGTCTGCTATACCTATGTCTCCAGACAGGCAGAACACAGAGAGCACCGCGCCCCGCCCCTCCGTGCGCCCCGGCAAGCCCCTGTCTGCGGACACCGTCCGTCAGGACAGGGTGGGCCGCCCAAAATGTCGCCAGCTGATGTACGAGCGCCGTTCATCGGATTACATGCACGGTAGCTCGGCGCGGGCCAGCCCGGCCTACACGAATCGCTGTCACGCAGCTTGGAAACGCCGCCTGCATACAGCGAGCCCTTGTGACGTCATAAGGGGGTCTTTCGCCCTTTATCGCCTGGCGGGATGGTCCTTTCAGCCGCAATCTCAGAGCCATTTGAGTATCCTATAGGTAGACGGGCTCCCAAGGCGATGAGCAATTTGCGTTTAGTTTATATTGAGTTATGCTTTTTATTATAAG